CCGAGCATGCTGGTGTGAACCATGGAGAGGATTTCAGTTTCACCGGGTATTTCCGAGAAAGGATGAAAGTGTCCATGCCGGCTTTGACCCAAGAAGAAAACTCAATGGCACAATTTTCAGATGGGTGGCTTAAGATGTCAGTCCAAGTAGCGTCACGAAGAAAATCCCGGATTGGGTTTCAATCACAATACTGGTAACAGAAAGAGGTTTTATGGATAGTGGCTTCCTGTTTAATTGAGATATCAATAACTACCACAGAGAGGTTCGAATTACCAAGGGGACAGTTTTGCGAAGCTCGGCAAGAGCAAGAAGAGATAAGAAATAAATCCACTACAAGAGGGCTGTTGATCGGCTTGACAAGAGAAACCAGTATGGAAGTGCACGGTTCGAATAAGGGATTGGGCAATGGAAAGATTTAATGTCTGTATACCGGCAACATCAGTACCTTTATAATATTTCAACCACGTCCCGTGGTGAGCATTAAAGTCACCGAAGACAAAGATGTTCACAGATGGATGGAGAGAAAAGACCTTTTTTATACTGTCAGTTATTACGCTTAATATCATGCTGTCTTGGAAAGATGTAGGGCGATAAAGGAAAAAGCGACACTTGACACAGTTTAGTACTGTAAGACGGAAGCACAAAAAGGAGTAGTCGGCGGCCTCGAGAATGAATGCCCTGGCCATCGGAAGATTATCCCGGATGTAAACACCAAGGCTATACATGTGAATACTGGAATCTTTTCAGCAAAGAGGAGGATATCCTATAACCAAGAAACAATGGAAGAATTCCAGTTGGTCTCACAAAGGGCAAAGATATCTGGCGGCCGTTCCAAGAGAAGTGATTCTACGAGGTAGAATTTGGAACGGATATCACGAATATTGGAAAAGAACGATCGTGGGGTAGGTGTATATTTGTTAGCTGGTTTTCGTTTTATTTCTTTTTGTTGTGATTTCCATGAGATATGTTTTTAGGAGAGAGGAAAAACGACATCATATTTGTAATCATCTATCGTCGATGGCAATACAGTCCAACCAGTGCGTGACTGAGAGCAGACATTAATGTGGCCTCAAGTTTGCCACCAGAACTTCATGCAGGGATACCTATCCATGCGCGACATGGCATTACAGATACACCGATATTATGCGATTGTTGATTGGAGCAGCCTCGCTAGGCTTTATCAAAGCGTTTGGCCTCCTCACGACCAGTCGGAAGCAGCAGCGAGCAAACTGCCAACCCGGTACCCTAACAATGAAAAGTCATAGCCACTAGCTAGTCCGATCACCAAAAAGTAGAGACGGTTAAATCATTGTCGTCCTGGTAGAAAAAAAGACAAAGAACCGGTTAACCATATCCTGATTAGAGAACACAAGATTGTCGGGTTAGTTCCTCCTAAGTGACGCTCTCCGGACTATAAATACTCAGCGATATTTTCTCCCTCACTTATTACCTTATTCGCTTATTCGTCAACATCTAAACCTATCGCGGAGATAGCGCTCCTTTTAGGAAACGCATGAACAACACACACACACGCGCGTACGTACACACATTCACTCACTACACATATTTGGACCAAAAAGGTTTTCATATTATTTTGTTACACACTTCATTGTCTTTGTCGCTTGTATACCTTTGTTGCGAATATATTATCCTTTGTTTGTACATATATATTGGTTATTGTCATTTCCATCTATTTTTTCACGTGATTCTCATCCCGAGTCCGCTGTGTTTTTTGTGGGCATTTCAGGAGACAGCGTATTATTTCTCAACTCAAAAACAGACGTAACTAACGCGTACATTTTGGGAAACGCATGCTACCGGCCAGCAAAAGAATGAACCTCTACTCCTGTTCAATAGATATGAAAAGCGCTCGGACCGGACGATAAAATACATGTAAATACGAAAGAATTCATATTAAGTCAAAACGTAGTATAAGTTCGGATGTCTGTAACCTACTAAAAATGGAATGGTAAGACGTAATTCACTCTTGTAACGCTAATTTTTCAGCAATGATAAGCAACCATCTAAGGTAAAAATTCTGAATGAAAAAAAGTTGTGAGGAGGGACTGAATTAAAATGTTTGATAATTAATATCAATGGAGAAAAAAAAAAGATGCACACGACAGTCTAATGCAACAAAAAAATAAAAAAAATAATAATAAAATTCAAAAATTGACACAGATATTTACAACTACAGCAAAAAGATGGCACAAGGTTAGGTAATGTGCATACGGGCTCTACAAGCGCTTCCTTGCAATCTTTAACCTTTCCTTTTTATGGACACTAGAGAAGATATCATCAATGGTGTTTTGAGAAAAAATAGGGCTGCTCTTGACTTTTCTCGGTCGAGAAGTTTTCCCAGAGATGGGATGGGTAAGAGAGAGGTGGGTGGTGGTATGAAGGGGCCGGAATCGTTTACTAGCTGTTGGTGGCACCAGCGTGAAGTGGGTGTCCACTTCTAATTTTGATCTATTCTTTGGCCTCCTTTGAGGAATTAAGAGTAATTCTTCAGTCAGCAAAATTAACAAATCATCCACAAACGGATGCCAAATTTCAAATAATATCCACACACACACACACACACACACACACACACACATATATATCTATGTGTATATATATATATATATATATATTGTCATCCACAGACAGACTGTTTCGCTGTATCACAGCTCATCAGTGTGATAGATTGCCTCTAGCTAGGCTCGAAAACCGGTTGAATTTGCATCAATCGGAGAATCTACCACTAAGCCGTTGGTGCACGGCAGGATGAAGGTGAATCTAAGCGTATTTATTTTTAGATAAACACGCCTATATATATATATATATATATATATATATATATATATATATATATATATATATATATATATATAATGTATGATTGCCAATTGATAATTTAATGATACCAATTAAAATTTAAATCCAGCATAAACAGATCTGGTCAAGAGAGATTAAGAAATTTGATAATTAATAGCAATGGGAGGGACGAGATACACACAGCAAAATAATGGATAGGTGAAAACACACACAAAAAACAAGAAATTAAAAAAATAAAAATGAAATTCAAAGAATGACATAGATATTTGAACATCTACAACTAAAAGATGGCACAAGGTTATATAATTTACATAAGGATTCTAGAAAAGCTTCCTTCCAGTCTTTAGGTAGAAACAGCACTTTTATATAAGTTTCGTTAAAAAACGACTGACCACGTACCACATTTAAGATTTTTATTTAAGTTTTTTCATGCTTTTCTTATGTTTTTTCTATTCTGGACAAAATGTATGTAGAAATTGTACGAATGATTTGTATGTCCGAGGTCTTTCGGCTATTCTTCTAACCATTATCATGATTTTATTTTTACTTTTAACTGAATGTATAGATTATTTATTGATGTGTCTTGGTTTATATGAATGTTCACGGTTAGCAGATCAACTATGAAAACGGCCAAAATGTGACCGTCTTTGGAAAATAAAAACATTCCTATAACTCAAGTTACATACCTAAACGATTCATACACATACATACACGCCCCCCTACACACAATCGGCATTCGCACGAAGTTCTGTTTAATAACTGATGTCAGAAAGAGGTTTTATGCAGTTGTTTTATAATTCTGAGTAGATTTAGAGCCATGCATGTCATTCATATTTATGTCTCGATTTGAGAAGGAAATTTCGGAACATGACTTGAGTTTTCTGATTAATGTTTTGGTTTTGGAGCAAACTCGCAACAATTTGCAAAATTATCCATAGCGCCATCTTATTCAATTGCCTTATCTCTCATAGTAAATTTGCTGTAACTGATCCATGCACTGAACTATTTGTAGTGTTAAGGATTTACTAATTCCACATACAGATTTTTTAATGGATTCAGAATACACGCCGTTCTGCTTTCATTCTAACCTCAGAACATAGTCTTTTTTTTTTTTTTTTTTTAAATTGGTAATAACTTGCTTTAGGATATTTATGTGATATTATGCAAAGTAAAACATACATTTTTTTTAAAAAGAATTAAAAAATATAGGTCAGATATATTTAATTATTGCAATATCTTATACACGTGAATAAACTTGACATTCTACAACCTTCGTCAGCCTTTCAACCACAGGTTTTATTTCATTATTTTTCTGTATTAACTTTATCATTTCTCGTGGTGGTTTTACCGTTTCCCAGAGATAATATTTCCAATGATATGCTTTTCCATTCACATACACATCTCTTTTCCTGATCATCCGTAGAGCTTGGTGTTAATTTATGTATCGGGTATCTTTGGGATTTTTTGTTTTTTTTTACAAGGTTGTTAATATTCAGCTATGGAGAATTTGAATTAAGATTGACTTGCGTGAATACCTTCTTTACGGCGCAGTCTTCTTGTATATGAACTTTACTTATAAAAGAAACAAAAAACTAAAAAAAGCGCTATTCCCAGTGTTCATCTTGGCGCATTCAACTTCAAAGGAATAGGTGTCGTAGATTTGCAGCTCAGATCAAAGAGATTCAGAAGAATGGTCAAAGAAAAAACAGTGAGGGAAAATACAATTGTAAAGCTGTGAATATGTGACAATATTTACTCAAGATTAAATATAGATTTTTATACCCGGGGTTGTAGCACCTGTTTGGGCACCAACTATGAGAAAATAGGAAACCTCCAAAATCGGGTCAAAAAACGGAAAGCTTAAAAATTCATTTCATAGTAAAAAAAATACCAGCAATTGATTTTTAAAATATATTACCAACAACTATAAAAGAAAAAGAAATTACAAGCAATAGATTTTTGTAAAAATAAAACATTGCTGAAGCTCCTCACAAAAAATAGATTTCGGCATTAAATGACCCATAAGGGGTTGATATGCCGTTAAACAAAAACACAAAAAAACAAGCAAACAAACAAACAAACCTTGTAACTTTTGGAATTTGTAGGGGGGGGATGTGTAGTAGTCTTAAGGAATATCCATCTTGACTTTTGAAGTCCTGCAATCCAACATATGATATTAGTTAAAGAAAATGAACACTCGTGCGTCTCTGCGAAATCTGACCTGCTTGTGCTGGGCGATTCAATGACGCCTTCACTTGCAATGGTTTTTTAAAGTTCCCATATAATCGTTGCTCAGATATGTCATAAGATGTCTGAGAGCTGAAACGTTTGTCAGAATGTCTGCTATTCTTTAACATTCACGTATTGTTTACCGATTCAACTCAGCATCCTCCTATAGATTGTTGCAATGATGTTTTCTTCCAGTCTATGAAATAAATTTACTCTATCTTTTAATTGAAACATTTGGGTAGCATAAAAAACCCTCAAAAGCAGAATCCTGTTGTCCAAATCAAATACATAATATAATAACTCATCGGCTTCCAATTCAACATTTTCCCCATATGCTTCTAAAGTAACATTCTTTATATCTTAATATTGTCAGGCAGACAATGTCTTCAAAGACATTATATTCTAAATGTTTCGTTTATAAGATGTTAAGATGAAAATTACAATGCCAGTTCATGAATAAATTTAAGATTCTTTGTGATTCTAATCAAAATATTATGCGTATACCAAATTATTCCAAACTAAAGTGATTCTTCAATACGTTAGTAACGATTAGAATGTGTGTAAGTAGAATAATGTATTTTAAATGGCTGGTTTTGTTACAATGGTTCATTCTTATATTTTGAAATATTTTACGAGTCTTTGGCTTTGCGTTGAATATATAAATAATTTGATTATTAGAGGAGATTAAAATGATTCCATTTAAGATAACTCGGAATTTGTAGCCCCCACTATTTATATAAAGAGGAGAAATTCATTAAAACTACTCTTAATCTCCTCCAATACACAAATCTATTACAACTAGGAGAGAATTTACCTAAGTTTAACATAAAATTTGTTACAACTACTTCTAAAACAATAAAACACTTAATTAATACAAAACAAAATAATAATAAAATAAAACTTGAAGGAAGAATTAACTCTATCACTGGTAATGACTGCCACAAGTAATGCATAGGAGAAACCCTGAGAAATTTACATAAATGATTACATGCACACTAAAGGCATTAGTGAATCAGAGTAATCAGCCTGACCTTAATTCCCCTTTAAAAATGCCACATTAATTAAGAGGAAAGCAATTTCCTAATATGAATATATAATGTGCTTTAATCACAAGATCATCCACAGTACATTTTCGTCCAGATTCATAAAACATTTCACCATTCTTAGCAGATTTTCAGTTATCACAATATGGGATACTAAATAACATAAGTGATAAAAAATATAAACAAAAAAAATATATATATATATATATATATATATATATATATATATATATATATATATATATATATATATATATATATAAATATATATAAAAAGAGCAGTTGTATCTATATATGTGTGTGTGTCTGGTTAAAACTAAAAAAAATCTACATTAATTAATGACAAATAAATATACAAATAGACTCACTATCACGCGAGCCAGCTTTTTCTAAAAAAATGATCATCGTATAATTTGTATTTACATTTTAAAATTAAAATCCATTAGAATGCATTCGAAATAGAATTACAAAGTAAAAACGAACGGTAATAATTCTTATTCTCGATTATTATTACCGTTCGTTTTTTACTTTTTTATTCTGTTGATACTTTCTAAATGCTATACATGTATGTATTTTTAAAATCACTATTCTCTTTTATTTAGAATTTATTTTCACATCTATAGTAAATAAAAGCGTAAGTTAAAAAAAATGAATATTAAAACAACAAAGTAAATTTAAAAGAAGAATATTAAATACAACTATTTGACGAAAAGTTTAATCTTTATTTATTCAAATATTAATTCGTGTGTGTGTGTGTGTGTGTGTGTGTGTGTGTATGAGTGTGTGTTCAGCTAAAACATCTAAATAAAGTAAATAAACTTAAATTAAGATATATTTTAAAATATTTAATTTAATCATTTTTTAAAGCAAAAAATTTAGCGAGCATTAATTCTTCGTAAAATAATTATTTATTATTTCTTTTGAACGGGTTTATTATTAACAAAAAGTTAAATAAACTTAAATTAAGATATATTTAAAGTTGAATTCAGTTTTGCATCTAGAGTAAATAAAAGCGTAACTTTTAAAAAATGAATATTAAAACAACAAAATAAATTTAAAAGAATGAAGTTTACTTTTTAAACATTGAATAAAAAATTATTTTCCATAAGAAATTGTCAATAATAAACTATTATTCAGAGATCTTCCGAGCAACGCCGGGCATCCCCACTAGTATAAAATTCCCCTCCCCTTCATGCATATGTGTAGTTACATCAAAAGGAACATAACATTAGTTCGATGAAGTAGCAAAGGGCGAAACACGTCACACGAAAAATGTTTTTACACTTCATTAATTTTCCTATCAGTACATTAAAAAATATCATTCTTTAATTAAATAACCTCTAAAAAGTTGATAAGCCGTAAAAAACAAATCAATAAATCAATTGTATTTTAGTTCTTAATATCTTTATTCTCAAGAGAATATGATGGCCTCTTTGAAAGAATGGTGCGTCAGTGTCAGACAAATCAATTGAATTATTAACAGTGAATATATATATATTCTACATAAAAAAGCGCTAATCATAGACACGAGCAGTATATCCGTAAAACTTTGAGATCGTTCGAAAGATAAGTCCTTTAAATATTTAACAAGGTACTGACTATTACCGCTTTGGTATAGAGAAATTTCTTGGCAAATACTGTGCTTGCTTTGAAATTCGTTAAATAATTTCACGTATTTCGATAGATGCTACTGATTCATATTATATATATATCAGGTCATCCCATAAGTTCTGTCCGAATTTTAACTTTTTGTTAAAATGAACGAAATAGAGTATTTTATAATGTCTAATGGAGCTGAACATTATTTTTATGTTTAGATGCATTTAATCTGATCAAATTTTATTTCAGAGAACAATAAAATTAAATTTTGTTTGTTTAAAACCCTGCTAACATGGAAGTACCTAAGAATCATTTGAGGCACATAATGCTTTATGAGTTCAAGAAAGGAAACTCACCAGTCGAAGCGGCTAGAAACATTCACTCAGTTTATGGAGAGGAATGTGTGAATGAAAAAACTTGCAGAAGATTGTTTGCAAAATTCAGAGGTGGAGATTTCACCCTTGAAGATGAAGATCGAACCGGACGTCTAGTTGAGTTTGATGAAAAACTTCTTGAAGTAGCCCTTGAAGAAAATCCTGCTTTATCAGTTGAGGAATTGGCAGTGGTTCTCAGTTCAAACCATACAACTGTTCATCGTCATCTTCAACAACTTGGAAAAGTTCCTAAACTTGGAAAATGGGTGCCTCATGAATTGTCTGAAAACAACCTCAAATCCCGAGTTGACATCTGTTCTTCTCTCCATTCTTGCCAATATGTTTCACATTTTTTGGATAGACTTGTGATTGGCGACAAAAATGGATCTTTTATCGAAATGTTAAGCGTCGTAGACAGTGGCTTGGTAAAGGGGAAGAACCCCAGCCACAGCCGAGAAAGGAACTTCATGGGCAAAAGGTTCTTCTTTCAATCTGGTGGGATCGCCAAGGAATAATCCACTTTGAATTCTTACCACCTAATGCAACAATTAATGCTCAAATGTACTGTCAGCAATTAGAGCGTTTGAAACAAGCTTTGAGGAAAAAAAAGACCTGCTCTAGTGAATCGAAAAGGGGTGATGTTTCATCAGGACAATGCGCGACTCCACACAGCAAGAATCACGTCACAAAAGATCGAAGAACTTGGTTGGGAGAAAATTCCTCATCCACCTTATTCTCCCGATCTTGCTCCTTCAGACTAACATTTGTTTCGTAGCTTACAGAATCATTTGGAAGAAACAGCTTTTGTAACACAGGAAGAGGTTAAAACTGACATTTGTGAGTTCTTCGAATGAAAGCCAAAAGAATTTTACAGTAATGTAATTACTAAGCTTGTTAATAGATGGAAGGAAGTCATAGATAATCAGGGAAAATACATTGATGATTGAATCTGTAATTAAATGTAACATTTGGTCACTTGTTTTCTTTATTCAAAATTCGGAGAGAACTTATGGGATGACCTGATATACAGTGTGAAACAGAAATACCCCCTCACATTTTAAATTGTCATCTGTGTGGGGGTAGTAAAATTAGACAAGTGGCAATGGTGTCTTCATTTAGCTAACGTCTTACTATCTTTTCTCAAATACAATCCTGTCCTGGGTAAGATGATAAACTACATCCTCCATCAAGGCCTCTGATCGGGAGGTTTTGAAGAGCATGGAACAACCTCGTAATTGCTCTTGTTCCCAGTTCCCCGAGGTGGTAGCACCTCTCAGGGTTCCAGCTATGGGTAGATAGTTAACTCACCAAACTGGGGTCAAAACGTGTGAAAATAGGTTTTAATATCAGCAAAACATTTTTGAAAAAGCAAATATTACCAGCAAAATATTTTTGAAAGAAAATGTTACCAGCTGTGCACGTTTGAGGGAAAATTATTACCAGAAATAGATTTTTGAAAAAAAAAATATTACCAACAATAACAATTTTGTCGGCATTAGATAACCCATTGAGGTTGATATGCCGTAAAACAAACCAAAACAAACCAATAGATAGATAGATAGATAGATAGATAGATAGACAGATAGATAAAAAATATTACCAGCAATAAAAATCTTGTCGGCATTAAATAACCCATTGAGGTTGATATGCCGTAAAACAAACCAAAACAAACCGATAGATAGATAGATAGATAGATAGATAGATAGATAGATAGATAAAAAATATAACCAGATAAAAAATCTTGTCGGCAAAAAACCCATTGATTGATATGCCGTAAAACAAACAAAAAAAACCAATAGATAGATTATAGATAGATAGATAGATAGATAGATAGATAGATAGATAGATAGATAAAAAAATATTACCAGCAATAAAAATCTTGTCGGCATTAAATAACCCATTGAGGTTGATATGCCGTAAAACAAACCAAAACAAACCAATAGATAGATAGATAGATAGATAGATAGATAGATAGATAGATAGATAGATAAAAAATATTACCAGCAATAAAATATTTCGTCGGCATTAAAATAACCCATTGAGGTTGATATGCCGTAAAACAAACCAAACCAAACCAATAGATAGATAGATAGATAGATAGATAGATAGATAAAAAAAAAATATTACCAGAACAAAAATCTTGTCGGCATTAAACAACCCATTGAGGTTGATATGCCGTAAAACAAAAAAACAAACCGATATTTGACCATAGATAATAAAAAGATAGATAGATAGATAAAAAAAATATAACCAGCAATAAAAATCCCATTAAACAACCCATTGAGGTTGATATGCCGTAAAACAAACCAAAACAAACCAATAGATAGATAGATAGATAGATAGATAGATAGATAGATAGATAGATAGATAGATAGATAAAAAATATTACCAGCAATAAAAATCTTGTCGGCATTAAACAACCCATTGAGGTTGATATGCCGTAAAACAAACCAAAACAAACCAATAGATAGATAGATAGATAGATAGATAGATAGATAGATAGATAGATAGATAAAAAATATTACCAGCAATAAAATCTTGTCGGCATTAAACAACCCATTGAGGTTGATATGCCTTAAAACAAACCAAAACAAACAAACCAATAGATAGATAGATAGATAGATAGATGAATAGATAGATAGATAGATAGAAAAATATTACCAGCAATAAAAAATATTAAATAACCCATTGAGGTTGATATGCCAAAACAAACCAATAGATAGATAGATAGATAGATAGATAGATAGATAGATAGATAAAAAAATATTACCAGCAATAAAAATCTTGTCGGCATTAAACAACCCATTGAGGTTGATATGCCGTAAAACAAACCAAAACAAACCAATAGATAGATAGATAGATAGATAGATAGATAGATAGATAGATAGATAGATAAAAAAATATTACCAGCAATAAAAATCTTGTCGGCATTAAACAACCCATTGAGGTTGATATGCCGTAAAACCAAACAAAAATAGATAGATAGATATAGATAGATAGATAGATAGATAGATATAGATAGATAGATAAAAAATATTACCAGCAATAAAAATCTTGTCGGCATTAAATAACCCATTGAGGTTGATATGCCGTAAAACAAACCAATAGATAGATAGATAGATAGATAGATAGATAGATAGATAAAAAAATATTACCAGCAATAAAAATCTTGTCGGCATTAAACAGCCCATTGAGGTTGATATGCCGTAAAACAAACCAAACAAACCAATAGATAGATAGATAGATAGATAGATAGATAGATAGATAGATAGATAAAAAAAAAATTACCAGCAATAAAAAATCTTGTCGGCATTAAACAACCCATTGAGGTTGATATGCCTTAAAACAAACCAAAACAAACCAATAGATAGATAGATAGATAGATAGATAATAATAATAGATAGATAGATAGATAGATAGATAGATAAAAAAAATATTACCAGCAATAAAATCTTGTCGGCATTAAACAACCCATTGATAGATAGATAGATAGATAGATATAGATAGATAGATAGATAAGATAAAAAATATTACCAGCAATAAAAATCTTGTCGGCATTAAACAACCCATTGAGGTTGATATGCCTTAAAAAACAAACCAAAACAAACCAATAGATAGATAGATAGATAGATAGATAGATAGATAGATAAAAATATTACCAGATAGATAAATAACCCATTGAGGTTGATATGCCGTAAAAACAAACCAATAGATTGATAGATAGATAGATAGATAATAAAAATATTACCAGCAATAAAAAATCTTGAAACAGCCCATTGAGGTTGATATGCCGTAAAACAAACCAAAACAAACCAATAGATAGATAGATAGATAGATGAATGAATAATAATAGATAAAAAAATATTACCAGCAATAAAAAAAATCTTGTCGGCATTAAACAACCCATTGAGGTTGATATGCCGTAAAAAAAACCAAAACAAACCAATAGATAGATAGATAGATAGATAAATAGATAGATAGATAGTTAGATAAAAATATTACCAGCAATAAAAATTTGTCGGCATTAAAAACCCAATGAGGTTGATATGCCGTAAAAAAAACAAAAAAAAACCAATAGATAGATAGATAGATAGATAGATAGATAGATAGATGATAGATAAATAAAAAAATATTACCAGCAATAAAAATCTTGTCGGCATTATTAACCCATTGAGGTTGATATGCCGTAAAACAAACCAAAACAAACCAATAGATAGATAGATAGATAGATAGATAGATAAAAATATTACCAGCAATAAAAATCTTGTCGGCATTAAACAACCCAATGAGGTTGATATGCCGTAAAACAAACCAAAACAAACCAATAGATAGATAGATAGATAGATAGATAGATAGATAGATAGATAGATAGATAAAAAAATAGAATAAAAATAGTCGGCATTATTAACCCATTGAGGTTGATATGCCGTAAAAAAAACAAACCAATAGATAATAAAATAGATAGATAGATAGATAGATAGATAGATAGCATTATTAAACAATAAAAATTTTGTCGGCATTAAATAACCCATTGAGGTTGATATGCCGTAAAACAAACCAAAACAAACCAATAGATAGATAGATAGATAGATAGATAGATAGATAGATAGATAGATAAAAAAATATTACCAGCAATAAAAATCTTGTCGGCATTAAACAACCCATTGAGGTTGATATGCCTTAAAACAAACCAAAACAAACCAATAGATAGATAGATAGATAGATAGATAGATAGATAGATAGATAGATAGAAAAAAATATTACCAGCAATAAAAATCTTGTTGGCATTAAATAACCCATTGAGGTTGATATGCCGTAAAACAAACAAAACAAACCAATAGATAGATAGATAGATAGATATAGATAGATAGATAGAAATATTACCAGAATAAAAATCTTTATCGGCGTTATTGAGGTTGATAGATAGATAAAAAAAATATTACCAGTAATAAAAATCTTGTTGGCATTAAATAACCCATTGAGGTTGATATGCTGTAAAACCAAACAAACCAACTTAAATACAACCAGTCATCATGATGGTGTGGACCAGTGTACACTATGCGTTTACTGTTGAAATGTTTTTAAAAATTGGTGAATCTGTAATTGGGACAAAGATAGCTTTTCCTACTCATTTCATGATACGTCGGAACCGTAGACTTGTTAAATGCAGCATCGGAGATACTGTCGTAATGCAGACCTCTACGTGTACAGTTGAACGTGAATAAAGAATTTCTTTTTTTTTTGCCACATCTCGCCATATTGTCAGACTATCAGAATCACTTTATGGCAGATATTATTTAGCTTAAGAACTACGCCAGGGAGCCACTTGTGTTAGAAGGGTACAGAGTAAGAGGTATTGTCTATGCGGATATTTGGGTTACATAACTGCATAAATCTTTCCTGGCATTAGTAAATATAATATCCTATACATAACTCTCTTCTACATTAAGGAACTACATCCATCAGCAAGACCTTTGATCGGGAGTTTGAATGTTTTGAGAAGTGTGGAACCATATCTTAATGGCTGTGGTTTCCAGGTCCACTCTAAACCGGGGCGGTAGCACCTGTTAGGGTCCAAGCTATGACAAAATAGTGAACCTCCAGACATAAACAAAACGCTATAAAAGTATAAAGACATATTTCTTAGTAGAATTAGCAACCATACACATTTATAGTAGGAATACCAACAATAGATTTTATCTGAAGTTGAATGCATGCAATTATGTTCAAAATATATTTAGCTGACGACAGAAAATTGTATTTAAAATATTTAAATTTCAGCATAAATAACCCATAGACGTTTATATGCTGCTAAAAGAAATCAACCAACCAACATGAAAGAACTCTTTCATAGCATTAATGCATATAATATCCTAGAATTGTTTAAAGAATTGAAACTGTATTCCAAGAACTCTTGCATAACATTAATCTATATAATATCATAGAATTTCTTAAAGAAATGAAACTGTATTTCACAATATAACTTCAACAAAACTACAATACGTATCTCAACGCTACTAGTAATTATGTCCACACAAACCTGTATATGCACAAAAGCTGAGTATCATCTACCATGTATTCAATTGTGAAAGCAGAATAACATATATGTTATTTGCATTACTACAAAGCTCCCAAGAAAATAGAATTTCGGCATTAAGTGACCCATATGGAGTTGATATGCCATTGAACAAACAAGACATAAAAGAAAACCATCACATTAACTCTTATGATCGAGTTACGCTGAAAAATCCAATTTGTATTTACTCGGCGATATTAAACCAAAGAGAGACTCATTTAGACTTTGCATAGGAACAACAGGTTTTGTAAACAAGTTGTCACCTTGTAATATACTAAGGCATATTTTCCTACAACCCCCCCACCATATTTCTGTTGCAAACCTTTATAATCTATAGCACCTCGTACCTTGCAAAGAGCGGACTTGAAAAGGTTAATAAATATAGAAGAATATCTAGGGAAATAGTCAGGAGAACTTAAAAGTGAAGAGAAAAGGAAACCATTAATTATATGAAAACAGAATGTTTAGTTGTCAGCAAAAGAAACAAACAGTCCAACATGCGAATTATAAAGATTTAATTATGTGGGAAGTATTTTAAAAGAGCCTCTGAAATGCGATACCGAAATCGTAAAGAGCATTGGAACAGCGAAAAATGACTTCCAAAAGCTAAGCAAAGTATTAAAAAAAAATAGGGAAATTACGTTAGAAATCAAGACAAGAATACTAAGCGGTAATACAGTATTGGTCTTCCTATACGGCAGTGAATACTGGACAATTTCCTCACAGATAAAGAAGGGTTTGAGACAGCCGAAATGGTCTGAACATCTGAGTAACAGGGAAGTTTTAAGAAAAATAGAAACAAAGAGAACACATACTTAGTTTCAAATTCTAGGGTACATCAGGCGGAAAAAAGGGGGCTTAGAAAATTTGACACTTACATGATATTGAATGCAAGAGAGACAAAGGAAAGTGGTGCAGAACTTTTACAGAGTTCGTATAATATTAATAGTTTCTGATTAGTAAGACTATAAAGAAACTTTGAAAAATTAAGTCAAGAGGAGTTTAATCACATGAGAACATGGATTTTAAATACAGTAGTTCAGTGCGACAAGCCCACGATTGAAGGGCGTTACACGTTTGCAACCCACTTTCGGTCACTGCACCATGAGTAGACGTATTACTCATAGTGAATATACGAGTCCATGTTTCAATCACAGTGTAGAGAAGGTTAGACAGTCTATCTACACATCAATAAAATACCTAACGAGATTATGCAAATAGTCTGTAAAACATGAATGAGAAGCGATAGCAAAAAAACAAAAAAACAAAAATAAAACTATACAAAGAGCTACGAAAGACAAGAAATTGTGGAGAGCCATGATCACCAACGTTCTGAATAGACACCGTACATAGAAGAAGAAGTAGAAGAAGGCTTGGCCGTAAGCGTCAGATAATATCCATGAAGGTCTCCGGTCGTTTATCGTTAAGTTCAGTAAATGTCGATCCTAATCAATGGATGTAAATGAGAAATCGTTTGTTTTGTTCTCGGTTAATTAATGCCAAGGTCAGACGACATTTATACTACATAAGAAGGGCGTCGGAAAAAATCAATATTTACCTTGTTGAACTTGATTCAGCAAAATCTATCGTCTTATCTTCCTTGAATCAAATTTATTATGAGGCAATCATAGGAAATATTGATGTGAGAATAGATTTTCAATTGAATTACTCAAGATTAACCTATATCTTCATAGATTGTTTTCTTTTCTTAATGTTTATTTTAAATATTGAATTCAGGCTTCACGTTAGATCAAAATTAATAGATTTATTATTGATTATGAATTGGAGAGATAAAAAAAAGAACTCACTTAAATATCTTTCGCTAATAAAAACATATCAGAAAGCCTTGCCTACCTTCGTTTCATTTTCACTTTTTCTTTTTTTTCAAATCCTTCCAACAAACTTGTGAAAATGACGGGTAGAATAGGAAACATAGCAAAAAGATAAAATTTACTAAGGGCTACAAATGACAGGATGTTGAGGAGAGCCATAAGCAAGTGTTGCTTTTCAAAGATTATCTTGCCAGGATTTTGATGAATAGTTCTTTTTTTTATTTATAGTCAAATATTTCTCACGTATCATATTTCATGGCATATTCCATCTATGATTATGCTAATATTAAAATTGATTAATTAATTGAGTTAAATAAATTAAATTAATTATCTAATCAAGTTTAATATTAGCATTATCAAAGAATAGAATTAATTTAATTTAATTAATTAATTTTAATATTAGCATTATCAAAGAATGGAATATGCAATAAACTTTTGATACAAAAGAAACATTTGAAAATAAATAAAAAAAGAAGAAAAATATTCATTAAAATGCTGGCGAGATAATCTTTGAAAAACAACATTGATTTGGAATTTGTAGCCCTTAGTAAATTTTATCCTTTTGCTATATCTCCTCTATCGATTAAAATTAAAATTAATATTATCTTTGCTAATGTTAATATTAAAATTAACTTTGGAATTCATTTACCGAACACCCATAATTATTGTCGCTTGAAATTAATAACACCTTTTTCATTAAAAGTGTTTTTTTAATAACTTAGTATTTTATTGGTAAGAGATTCCTTCAAAAACGTTTGTTTCTGGTCATCAACTTGTTAAGAAATGTAACATCTTGATTATAACATTACTTTCCTTTCTAGTTATATTGACTATGCATTTTAGATGTTGCCGCTGTTGGAAGTCTTTTTGTGATATGGTTTTTGTTATTGGGTAAAGCTCTTTGTTTATTAGTTTGTAGTGCAAGTCTGGAAGGTTAGATAAAGTACTGTCGTGAAACTATTTTTCATCATTGGTCTGAGAAAACAGTTGTACAGACAAACTACTTATCAACGGACGAATGGTGGGGTGATGGGCAGTCTGTTAAAGCCGATTGACTGTAGATGGAAAGGGATTATTTTTTAGTTAAAAAAACACTATAGTAACTAACAGTAGTTATGAACATGATGTAAATATTATAAACATGTATATATGGCATAAATAAATATATACTTAATATATATATGTAAATCAAAATAACAACAATAATGAATTTCTCACAGCTACTTTCTCACGCACGTGGTAATGTATCGTACTTTATATACTGTACACCTGCTTTTGTTTACAATTCAAATGCCAGACACCACTGCCAAGTGGTCAGTTTGGGAACAGATACGACTTGTTCCGCTAAGACCACAAATTTTGAAATACATCGCTGACGATTTTGGAGTTTTTTTTCCTGAATAACTTTTTTTATTTATTTTGCAGATTTTGACCGCTGCATCAGAAGTCCATTGATTAGTGGTGGAGGGGAGTGTCATTAGATGAAGGGCTATATTTTAGACATTTCTAGAGTTGGAAATTTTGATTACACTAATCCTCAATAAAATACCAAATACCTCGCTCTGCTGTGGATATCATTTTTAGAAGAGTAAATAGAATTTAATCATTAAATTTAAATTTCACAGCATCAGTTTAATCTAAAAGATTTAAGGGGAATAAATACATATTTAGTTGGTTGATATTACACGTCATCTCTTGGGTTATTCTGGGTCGAATTTTAAAAGTGATACACAGTGATAATCGGGTACTGTACTCATTGGTAAGGATGAACGAAACAAACCTCGCTAATAATTACCCGACTTTGGAGCAACAGGATTAAATAATTGCAATAAAAAAATTGTAATTTAAATAATGTAAATATAAATTAAACATAAGATGTATAGATATGAATAGACTAAGATATAAATATATATATATATATATATATATATATATATATATATATATATATAGATAGATAGATAGATAGATATGAACAAAACTAAGAT